TTTGCTACAGCAATGGAAAATGGACTAATACACRATGTGAGTTAATACAAATGTCAATTAACTAGACTTAACCATTGCTCCGTGTATACATACTTCAACACTCATGTTGTACATGATAAATATATATATTATCTGACAATTGAAATAAATCAATCAATAAATTTGAAAAACAACAAATAATACTATCATATCTGTTTTCTTAAAGACCACTATTTTGGTTTCTTAAAATGGTAGGCGAGGGGCTGGGGTTATGGCTCAGCGGCAGAGCGCTCCCCTAGCATGTGTGAGGCCCTGGGTTCAATCCTCAKYACCACATGAAAATAAATAAAAAATAAAATAAAGGTATTCTTTCCAACTACAACTAAAAAAAGTAAATATTTTAAAAAATGGTAGGTGAGCATTCCAGAAGAGCAGAAATACTGGAACGCTAGTACCTGATCATGCGATCGCTGCTGCTTGCCCTGCCCCATCCCTCCCCTCTCCTTCACTGTTAGGTAAACTCTTAGACCTTCTTCAAGATTCAACATAAACATTTCCCCTCTGTGAAACCTTCCCTGAACGTTCCCAGCGCTCCCAGGTAAAGCTGGCTAATCTCGGCCCTGAGATACCGCTGGCCCTTACCCTATCATATGTCGTCATTTGTTTACATTTCTGTTTCTTGCCCAACCACAAACTCACCAAATGGCAACGGGTTCAGATTACACCTGTTTAAGTACAGTCGGCTCAGTCACAAAACAAGCCACTTCCAAATAGGCTGAAAGCCGGCAATGCACAGAGCTGAGACCAAAAACAGTTTCATACTCCTCTCTCTGGATCAAAACATCCAATTCTCCAAAATTAATATCTAAAGGAAAGGATATCCTGAATGCAAACATGATTCATCGCTAATCTTAAAAATRATTTTCCTTCTTTCATTTCTGAGTATCATCCACAAATAAACGGCACATATCTTCTCACTTTACAGAGACCCATACACTGCAGTCTTCACCCCAAAGTCTTTTAATTCTGGCGGGTGGTTTCTTATGCCCCAACAGAGCTCTAGCATTCTAGATTCTGGTTGAGTGTATTCCACAGCTATCCCTGAATAACCACAGTCTTTCCTTAATTCACAGAAACTATAATAGTACAAATGTTCTCAATTTTAATTTCTTTCCCTTGAAATATTTTTCTTAGAATCTTCAGAACTTGCTGAGTAGCACTTCAAAGTGACATAAAAATTAAACAAATAATGAACGTTATGTTCATAAATAGAAAAAAAATGGAGAGTGATATTAGCAGGATGGCTGAACAGAATAGCCTACCACTCATCCACCGCCACAAAAAAAGACCACAACAAAGATAAACATGTATATTCTGGCCAGAGGGACTGAGGAAGTTCACTAGAGAATAGCTAGGAAGTGGCAGGATCCCCGTGGAATGCAAAACCTAAGGGAACACCATAGAGAGGAGAGCAAGACACCCCCGTCTCTCCTCTCCTGTCTGAATTCTGTATTGACTTGGCCAAGATGGACTTCAAGCTAGAGACCCCCAACAGTCCCTGTTGCTGTGGCAGATGATCACACAGGAGACTCATCAGCCCCCACAGGTCCCAAATACAGTTTGGAGAACTTCCCAGAGTTCACATGGATGTATTGCCACAAAGGGAGCCCACATTGTAAATGCCCCCGACACCCTGCATGAGCTAAGCTGCTATGGTTGGCACCATCCTGAAACTCAACCTACTTCTAGAGGACACCCTGTCCTAGAGGTTAGTGTCCACAGTGTATCTCCATTCCCAAGACTTGGCTGTCATTCTCCCGTGTACATAGCCAYAGCACCATGACCCAGCCAGAGCACAGGCCTGGGAGAAAGACCAAGACCCGGGTTTTCAAACCCATATTATACCCCAACCCCAGAGAATTGGCAGATTTTCACAAAGGTGAAACTAACATGGCTGGTGGCCCATGTGCACCCACACCCAATGCAACAGCCAGCCAAAAGTCAGCCCTGTCACACCAAGGAGCCTGTCAACACAGCCAGCCAAGGTGCAGCACCTGTGCATACAAGAATAGTCCATCAGTCAGCCAAACAGGTTAACCAAACTGCAGTGGCCCTGCATCTCCAAACCCAGCCTGGCAGCAAGGTGGACAGCAGCACACCCACCATAAAGCCAACAGCCCATGGCACTTGCAAACACCCACAAATGGCCCAGCAGCCAGCCCCGTACCAAATCTCCCCCCACAAAATACAGTGTCATACCACCCTGGTTACAAACACTCACAGCACAGGCCACTGATGCTACCGCAGACATCACTACCAGGACTGCAGCTGAACAAATCCATGCTATGAGTCCATCCACAATCAAAGCTGATACACCCTACCCTCTGTTCACAAGAAAAGGCCTCTCTCTATGGGGGAAAAGACAAAATCATCCATTCAACTGGAAAAAGAAACTATTGCACTAGATGTGTAGATACCATTGTGAGAGACAGAAGAAACAGAAAAGYAAGGAAAGTACCACCGACAAGGACWTACTAATTCTCCAGCAACAGACTCCAAAGAAAAGGAAATTTATAAAGTGCCCAAGAGGGAATTCAAAATAATAATCTTAAGGAAGTTCAGAAAATATAAGATCATACAGACAAAAAATTCAATAAAATCAGAAAGAAACTCATGATCTGAATTAAAAGTTCAACAAAAAGATAAATATAAAAAAGAACCAAGCAGACATTTTGCATCTGGGATAGTCAATGAATGAAATGAAATATATATATATATATACACAACTGAAAGCAAAAAAAAAAAACAGATCAGATGAAGCAGAAATAAATAATTTCTGAACTTGAAGTCAAGTATTTTGATGAAAAATATAGAAGAAGGAATAAAGAACGAAAAAGAGTGAGGAAAGCTCACAGGATCTATGAGATACCAGTAAAGGAACCAATCACATGATGGTGGCTCCTAAGGCAGGAGAGACAAAGAAAGGCATAAAAAGTACACGTAACGAAATGGTAGCTGAAAAAGAAAGAAGGAGTAGTTTAACACTTCCCAAGACAGATGGAAACGGACATCCAGATTCATGAAGCAAAGAAACCCCCATTAAACTCAACCCCAAAAGGCCCTCTTCAGGGCACATGATAATTAAGCTGTTAAAAGCTAAAGTCAGAAAGAGAAAACAGTCACTTACAAGGGAATTCCCGTTAGACTAACGATATGTTCAGAGCCCTGAAAGAAGAAAAGCTGCCAGCCAAGAATTCTATACCCAGCAAAGCTATCCTTCAGAAATGAAAAAGAAGATCTTTATCAGAGGAGCAGAAATTGAAAGAATTCATCACCACTAAACTGGCCTTATAAGAAATTCTTAAGGAGTGTTCCATCCCATCATGAAAACAAGTRAAAATATAAAGCTCACTGACAGGGAAAACATCCAAATGACAAGAGAGAGGACTCAAACCTTATCACTACACAAAACCACAAAGGTTTAAATAAGCCACGCATGGTAACAKACACCTGTCATCCCGCAGCTCAGGAGGCTGGGCCAAGAGAATGCAAGTTAAAAGCCAGCCTCAGTAATTATCGAGGCCCTAAGCAACTTAGCAAGACCCTGTCTCAAAATAAAATGTTAAAAAGGGCTGGGGATCTGGCTCAGTGATTAAGACCCCTGGGTTCAATCCCTGGTACAAAAAAAAAATTAGTAAATTTGGAATTTGGTGGTGACATAAGGGCAAAAGAGACAGATTTGGATTGCTTACTCAATTTCTTTAATAACCATTGATCTAGTCAATAATTCTATTTTTTTTTCCTTGAATCAATTTTGATAATTTATGTTTTTGGAAATATATCCATTTCATCCAAGTTTTCAAGTGCATTGTCACAAAGTTGGTTATAATAGTTTCTAATTATTTTTTTAATCTTAGGCTTTTATCTGTTCATATTCCATGTTTTCAATTCCAAATACAAATTGTGTTCTCTCTATCTTGCTTGATCGATATTATCACCAAGCCAGATTTTGGCTCCTTATTTCCAGTGTCATTATTCCCCCTACTGCTTTGTTCCTTTCATTTCCTTTGGTTACTCTCTTGGTCTTTGTGTCCTCATCACCGTGCTGGGGACTGGGCCCAGGGGCTCTGTATGCCAGGCCAGGGATCCACCACTGAGCCCCTCCCTGGCCCTCAGGGTTGTTTTTTTTTTCTCCCTTCTAACTTCTTGAGTTAAATGCTTTTCTTATTGATCTAAACTGTTTCCTACAGTTTGATATATGCATTCAACTAGAATTTTAATACATGGTGATCCTATTGTCACTTAAAGATTTTTTAATTTCCATGATATCTTCCGTGWCCAACAGGTTATTTGAAGTGTTTGTTTCCAAAATTATGGTTATCTTTTGTTACATTTTCTAAGTTTATTTTGTGATGGCCAGAGACCACAGACTGCATGCTATAGATTTTGTGATACTGCTGAGATGTCCCTTATGACTCAACATATGATCAGTTTTTTTTCAATGTTCCATGTGAGTGGGGAGAGAATATATAATCCTTATTCACTGGAGATGATTGTTTTTTTTCATTTTCCACCAAGATCATGTATCATATTTGTTATCAGAAAAAAAAATACTGAATTAAAAGAGATAATCCAATAATGACTGCTAAAAGTTAATAAATTTTCAAAGAGAAAACAGTAATACTATTGGGCATTTACAATATATCATTTCACTATGTGCCACGCACAGTGATATTTTTGTATTTATTAGCTAAGTTAAATCCTCAGAACACCCTATAAGAAAAATATAACTATCATCCTCATTTCTGAGATGAAGAAATAGAAATGAAAAAGCTTAGGTAATTTGCTAAGCCACAGAGATAATAAATAGTGAAGTCTGTGTTCTTAAAATACTATGCAACACAATATCAACACCGATATATTTACAGGTATACACTATACACTTGTTCACATATGTGCATGCATATATGTAAAGTATACATCAGGCCCATCTCATCGAYGAGAGAGAAAAGACAAAATACCTCCAGTGGTTTTCTCGTTCAGATTCACACCATACTTTGCCAAGGCTCTGATGACGTCATTTTGCCCAGCCATGCAAGCTGCGTACAACAGATTTCTCCCAACGGTGTCTTCTTCCAAGAGGAGCTCCATGGCATGGTCGTGATGAGGATCTTCGGGGTCCTCGAAAATCCTACGCAAGCCTTCTATGTCCCCTGTGAGAAGAGGCCGCAGGAGAGGGTTCTCGCGGCTCGCTACCTTTGATTGTTGGGATTCTTCATCTTCTTCTGGCTGTGAGAAGACAGATTTTTCTGAACTCTCTGACTCTAAGTGTCCTTCTGGCTCCATTAACTCCAAAAATACCTAAACAAAAAAAAAATGGTAATGATAAGGAATAAGAGATTCCAAACCCATCAGTATTTATTTATTCACTTATTTAATCAATTAGAAAATGGGGTGAAAATACTTAATCACTTGAAAATAATCATAAAATTGGATATTTTGGCTATCCAACCAATAAAGCTTATTGTGCATCTATAATGAGTAAGTTCATTAAGTGTATACTAAAATGCTAATGTGTGATATAGCAGAGGTCAACGATCAAAGTGAGCTGAGTTCCTCGGGAAAAGATTGACAGAGAAGGCTGAAGAGGCCTACTGGCCTAAACAAGGGCCTCTCTTGGGGAGAAGTGAGATATGTAACTGATGATTAGAACCAACTTATCAATAGGAGAAGACCATATTTGATTGGCTCCTGTGTTCTGACCCTCCAGAGCGCCCTGGTTCCTGCTCATTTCCAGCCCTCCCCGCCCCCGCACTCCCCCCTCCAAGGGTAGCCCCTGGTAAGGGACTCAGACTCAGACTCCTGCTTGTCCTCCCAGGGTGTCATCTCCCCTTKTTCAGGGATAGAATTCGTGAGACCGGAACGAACACAAACCTCACAATCAGCTCAGGTTATCCTGAGGGGTGGTCTGGTGGGCACCCAGGGTCTGGGGTTTGTTCATCTATCAGTGAAGGGGTCAGTTTGAGTACTTAGGAAGGTGAGCTCTTGGGTCAGAGTCTGTGCTCCGAATCTGGGAGGATTTACTCCAAGGAAGGTCAGTGCCCTCAGAGGCCATCACCTTCCTGGGACGAGACACCTCCTTCCTGCCTGCAGTTAGCACAGGAAAGCATCTTTCTTGGGAGATGAAAGCTGTCAGCGCATGGCTTTCTATTTTACTCCCTTTTTCTCAGACCACATTTTTTTGGGGATTTTTCATTTTCCATACCTATTAGAATTTCACCTACTTTTCTTTTAATCAGGCTTTTTTTTTTTTTTAAACCAGCCTTTGTTGTGGAATAGAACTATCTCCCAGTCTCTCTTACAACATGGTGTGGTCAYAGGTGCAAGTGGTAGACAATAATATGGAAGCAGATTTGCAGGATGTAATTTCTAGGAGAGCATAATCCCTTCTCACTGGATTATAGGCATGATGGCTGGAGCCTGCACAACTAATTTAGACCATGAGGTGGATATCCTATCCAAATACAAATATGTTATTTTTACATTGCTTATATTATGTCTATTAAATATACAGTATATATTATTTGTTTTAATCATGCATGCAAATATGTAACTTCTATTAATGGAGTCATTTTGGGGGGTTTGCTTTATTTTTTCCTTAGTACTGGGAATTGAGCTCATGGGTGCTCTACCACTGAGGTACATCTCTAGCCCTTTCTATTTTTATTTTGATTCAGGGTCTTGCTAAATTGGTCAGACTGGCTTCAAACTTGTGATCCTCCTTCCTCAGCCTCCTGAGTCACTGGGATTACACGTGTACACTACTGCACCCAGCTCCAAATAACTTATTGTTCATCAGCTATTACTGTTTTGCCCTGGGTACATTGCATGAATGAATATATTTAAAACAAAATAATATTTCTCTTTACTACATGTGACATATCGGTTTTATTTTTTTTTAAGGCTGGGTATCACCTACTAAATTGATTTCTTGATCTAGTAAATGTTTGCAATCCACAGTGTGAAAAAAAAAATTAGTCTTGAATATTCTAAGAAACCAACAGGAAGGAAACTAACAGCAGTGCTTAAGGATAATAGCTTGAGTGACAAATGTCACAACATAGCCAGGACGGTACCACATACTGGTAATTTTTAATGGCATCCACCTCCACTCTCCAACATGTTGGTAACTACCAGACATTAAATGATCTGGTCACACTATTYATGGCAGCTGTGACCGTCCAAAACATTTCTGCAGCAGATCTCTATTTTCAAACCTTTGACAAGACAGGGACAGGCAGGAAGTGTCTGGAATGCCTTTCCTCKCTGGCCCAGTCGGGGCCCAGACATGAGACCATAAAGACACCAGAAACTCTATTTGAACCTCAGAGGCACTCCTGCTACTGGGCCTAGAAGAGCTTTGATCTCTTCCATTCCAACTAGCCAAATCCAGTCTAGGCCATCCATAAAACCACCTTCTTCCCTGGGCTGCTCTCTTGAAACACCCTGGCCTCTCTCCTCTGCACCCCAAAGGCTGTTATATAGAGTCTATACCACGCAACTTATCAAAYAGGGTCTTATACTATTTTTAAGTTGTTTCAAGTATGTAAAGACAACCCACTTAGATTGCTARGGACAGGACAGGAATGAAGCCTTATATCTCTTTTCTGTCACTTCTAGACATAGGACAATTCTTGATAAGTATTTATGTTCAGTATTTTCCTCCCTCCCAGATGGGACTGGAGATTGAACCCAGGGCAAGATGAGGTCTCACTAAATTGCTGAGGCTGGCCTCAAACTTGTGGTCCTCCTGCCTCAATCTCCCAAGTGGCTGAGATTACAGGCGTGCTCCTCCACACCTGGCTGTATTTGGTAATTATTAAAAGTAAGGTGTGCAATTCCCAATACTTTTCTTCAGACAAAACAAAAACAAAACAAAACAAAAAAACTCAAAGTTCCTTTTGGTATACGCTTCAGTAGAGCTCAATCTCCGTTATCAGCCCAGAACCAACAAGATCAGGACAAGTGGTTCTCAAATTGTTTGATCTCAGGGCTTTAAACAGTCTTAAAAATTGAGAACCCCCAAGGAATTTTTGTTTATGTGGGTTATATTTATCAATATTTACCATGTTAGAAGTAAAAACTGAAAAATCCTTAAGTACTTATTAATTCATCCTAAAACAATTTTATGTAAACATAAAAATATATAGTTTATAAAAAGCAACTATATTTTCCAAAGCAAATAGAGCAGTGAGCAGAGCGGCACCATTTTACAGTTTTGCAAATCTCTTTAACATTCGGCTTAGTAGAAGACTCGGATCCCCAAGTCTGCTCTGCGCTGAGGCCGAGACAGGCGGTGCTGTGATCATCCATCACCCTCGGAGAGCCACATACACACGTGAGTGATGTGCAAAGGCTGGAAATGTCTCACTGGTGAACACTTCTTAGGAAAAAAGTTGGACTGGTAGACTTCCTGAAAATGCCTTGGGATCCCCAGGGATTCAAGACCACTGGACCAGGGACAACCCTCAACCCACTGCAGTCTATAGTCAACCCCTTAAGACCAGAAGTATGCCCCCTTTTTTGTTTCTTTTCTTTTTTCTTCTTCTTCTTTTTTTTTTTTTGTATTTTGAAATATTTGCATAGGCTTTACTGGATTTTGAAGCATTTCAAATTTCTGATTTGGGGATTAATAAATCTTTTTTTTATTTATTCAACACACGCACACACACACACACACACACACACACTGTATTGGTTCTGGAAAACATCAACTAATACAAAAAAAAACTTGTATTGGCTATGCATTGGCTAATGTGACCATAACAGTTCCCCAGTACTGTTCTGTGATTAGTGGTGATACTAATGAAAGTGGTTTTTTAAAAATATTACAGCATGACATATGCTAACATTTGGAAAACTGATATGACTAAGTGAACCATTATTTTATCAAATCTGATTTACTCTTCACCATTTTCCATGATGTCACAAAATCAGGAACAGGTAAAAGATCCAATATAAGACAAGCCAGGAATGGTGGTACACACCTATAGTCCCAACTACTAGGGAGGCTGATGCAGGAGGATCTTATGAGCCCAGGCATCATAGCCAGACCTCATGGCTTAAAACACAAAGATAAGACAGAGAAATAGGTTTTAATCAAACACTATGAAAWTCTCATTGCTAGAGCTTCAGATTCCACATTGCAACCAGCTTTAATAAACTACCACTTTTCAGGGGCTGGGGATGTGGCTCAAGCGGTAGCGCGCTCGCCTGGCATGCGTGCAGCCCAGGTTCGATCCTCAGCACCACATACAAACAAAGATGTTGTGTCCACCGAAAACTAAAAAATAAATATTAAAAAATTCTCTTTCTCCCTCTCTCTCTCTCTCTCTCTTTAAAAAAAAAAGAAAAAAAAGAAACTACCACTTTTCAAGTTTCTGTGCAATCAAATGAAAAACATGCACAATTATCTGAAAATACTATTTAAATATTCCTTTCTCCAACTATACCATATGAAAAGGAATTTTCCTTATATATTTCAACAAAAGCAACATATTGCAACAAATGACTAGAGAAGCAAAAAGAAAACCCTGTGCTCCATGAAACCAGGAATTTAAGACATCTGCACTTGTGTAAAACAATGCCACTTTCTTGTTAATTTTTTAGAAGTCATTTTTTGTGAGAAATGCACAATTTATGTTATCATATGAGTTTATTTATTGTTTTTAAAAGAATAATTTTTAAGATTCTCAGTTTAATTTCTAATTTGTACTATATCTCTAATATTGATGATAGACAGAACCCACAAAAGGAAAGCTCTTAGAGATCACTAATATTTAAGAGTATAGTGGAGTCCTGAGACCAAAATGTTTGAGGGAAGGCTGTGTAGAAAACACTCCAACCAGGGCTGAAGGGAGTCACAAGCAGTAGCTTGGTGCAGCCTGAGAGCCACCAAGGAACACAGGTTGTATCTAACCAAGAGCACCATCAAGGCAAGAAACACCAACTAACCAAGAGAGCGGCCCCAGAGACGGCAGAGAGCTGCCACTTCTCCAAAATTGGTTTCATGAGCCATCACCAGCACCCATATATATACCCAGAGCACCATCTCAAGGAGAATCAGAGACGTTATCTAAGAACCTAAGCATTTGAACCTAAGAAATTAAACACCAGTTGTAGAAATCAATTGTAGAGTGAGCTAAACTTTAAAACCAATTGGACATTTAAATTCTTTCTGTCCAAATACTGAATAAGAAACTAAAGAATTAATAGACAAAAGTAGATTTCTTTGTCCACCCAAGAAATAATATGTAACAGAATTGCAACCCTGCTACATGTAACAGGTTTCATAG